AGCATTTGGGGCTCACCTTTTTGTCCTTAATCCTTGCGGTCATCATCGGACTGCCTCTGGGAATTCTGATTGCCAGAAAAAGGAAACTGTCCACTCCCGTATTGGGAGTTGCAGGTATTTTACAGACCATTCCGAGTATTGCTTTGTTAGGCTTTATGATTCCGGCTTTTGGAATAGGCGCTAAACCTGCTATTATTGCATTGCTGATCTACGCTCTTTTACCGATTATCCGTAATACCTATACAGGAATTACAGAAGTGAATCCGACTGTTATTGAAGCGGCAACAGCGATGGGAATGAACAGAAGCCAGCTTCTTTTTAAAGTGAAGCTTCCCTTGGCCATGCCTGTGATCATTGCGGGGATAAGAACAGCAGCAGTGATCAACGTGGGAGTGGCTACTTTGGCATCCTTTGTTGCAGCCGGAGGTTTGGGTGAATTTATCTTTGGAGGCATTTCACTCAATAATACAAACATGATTCTGGCAGGGGCAATTCCTGCAGCCTTGTTGGCTGTTTTGCTGGATCAGACCATTGCTGTTGTTCAGAGATCCGGATACGGTCTGTTTCAGAAACTGAAATATGTGGTTCCGGCTATTCTTATCATTATCGGAGCGGCTTATCTGCTCACATCTGTTTCAGGAAATAAAATAAAAGCAGGTTTTACTCCGGAATTTATGGGAAGGCAGGATGGTGATCTGGGATTGCGATCTGTGTACGGACTTAACGTCAATCCTGTTGTGGTAAACGATGCCATCATGTACAAAGCGGCCTATGAAAAAGAACTCGATCTGATCAGCGGATATTCTACCGATGGCAGAATCAAAGCTTTTGATCTCTATGTCCTGAATGATGATAAGAAAATATTTCCCCCATATTATGCAGCACCTGTCATCAAAACAAAAACACTGCAGAGATTTCCGGAACTTGAAGAAACTTTGAATTTACTGGCAGGCCAATTCAACGACTCCATCATGACCGATCTGAACTACAAATCGGATTACCTCAATCAGACTCCAGAAAAAATAGCCAGAGACTTTCTGATTAAAAATAAATTATACAAAACTTCCCGAAAAGGAAATTCCGGCACTTTGGGTAACCTCTTTCACTGTTTGTTCGGTAG